TGCAAAAAAAACATTTTTTTTTTTTTTTTTTTTAAGTAACAGGCATATTACTCTGATGATGCATCCCTTCCTCTAGCTCGCACACTAAGCACCAAGCTGGCTTTCTCCCACCCTTCTGTGGCCACTTGCACCCATGCCTCAGGCTTTGCAAGGCTTTGTTACTCGGCTCTAAAACCTCAGTCCACGCTGGGACTTATATGTTGAAATGAAATTATGCTAGTACCTAAAACGGGAAGAGCTTCCCCCGCCACAAGTTGTAGCAGTCAGTGGCACAACTGATTTGTGAATGGAGTTGCTATTAACATACTTTTTAAAAAACTCTTCAACTAAGGGATCTTTGGGCACAACTCCATTTAAGATCTTTGTCCAAACACAGCGATGCATAATCTGACCGTATCCTCAGGGCCATAACAGATTCGGGGTGCCAATGGATTACAGTCGATTAATACAGTAACAGTTCAATGGGGCTGCTAAGATAACAGCTAGGTAATTAAATTAAAACTATGAAACTATGAATTATAACCCTCACGTGGCAGGCTCTCATAAGGACTGTGGTGGAACTAGATTATTACCCCTGGTTTCTAAGTCATCATCAACCACTTTAAGGCCAGGATCTCTGCCCTGGAAGTTGCAGGTTACTGTACCCGAGTTCTTTTCTCTAGTTGCATCTTCAGGCACGTCCCTCATTTTCGGGAATTTAGGAGGTGGGCCAAGCAACTTAGCAGCCAACTTCTGACCTTCTCGCCATGCAAAAGCACCAAACGAGTTGGAACCTGGAGGGCGGCCGGAGGAAGAATAACACATCTGTTATTTGAAAGGAGGAACCTCAAATGCTCAAAGTTTCAGCGGACTTCACACCACACCAGGAGGGGAACTCCCTAAGTTTAAGTCGGACTGAATTAAAATGTCCTTGATGCTTGATATTAAATGGCAGAGTTGGTCACCAAAACTTTGGGCCTTCAAGCTCCCCAAAAGAGTCCATTAACCTTGTAGCAAAGGGCCGTGTTACAGACCCTGGAGGTAGACGCGAGACGTGGAAGCTTGTAAGATGCAGGTCTTTTCTAAGAAGAACATCATTACAGCACATCCTATCTTGCATAGCCTGTTTCTGTAACTCTTAATAAGTGTTTCTATAAAGGCTAAGCTTCAGGGATCTTTCAGGATGCCGGATAAAGAAAGGCACGACCGTCTCCTGAGCCGGCAGCTAACACGTGCTCAGTCCCAGTGTGTTCCAGAAGGTATCGGGAAGCAGGAGTGTTAATGAAAAGATGATTTTATTTGGGATAACTTCAAGAGCACTCAAGTGAACTAATTTATTTATAAACAGGTGAGAATCAGCAGGATACAGTGTAGGGGGAAAAAAATCGATGGCAATCCAGTATGAGGAGCCGTGTATAATGCAAAAATAAATGATACAGCACGAGGTACAAACAAATGATTCTTCCTTTAATATGTGGTGTCATATCATAGACAACATTTATCAAAGTTTTACTTCATAACTCTAGATTACATTCAGGGATGTCAACACCCAAACTGATGTCATTATGTAGTGATCTGAAACGTTCCTCCAGCAGAGGAATAGTAGCAAAAAAATTCTAAAAAGGCTTTTGCTTGGTGGGATGCTGAACTTAGCTGCTGACTGGCTATTGAACCGAGTTATAAACAGGGGTTTTTAAAGGGAGAATTTGCCAATAACCACTAAGATAGATTTTTGTCAAAGGTGTTTCAGCACCTCGGAAGGCCCTTGGGCGCATGGAGCGATTGATATAATTGTACGGGACGGGCATGCTTTAATTAGAGAGGCTCTGAAAGCTGCCCTAATTCAAGTGCCTGCAGCGTCACGTGTATTTAGTGTCCTACAGTTCAAAATGGCAGGAGCACTTTAATTAAACCAGAGCAGAGGTCCAGCATGTGTATAGGTGCCCGTAGAAAAGCACGGCTGGAAGGGACCTCAGCAGGTCATCGAGTCCAACCAGGGAACAAACCGGCAGCCTTGGCGTTACTAGCCCCATGCTCTAAAAACGTTTAAAGTGATTTGACCCTTCTTGAGTTCCTCGGTACGCCAAAAAGCCGGGCTGCGATTAAACCAGCACTCCGAAAGGCTGGACGGTTTGTGATTTATAGTGGGATGCTCCGGTTCTCTGTTTAAACATCCGATGGAAAATGCAGAGCCGTATCCTCAGCTCACGTGAACGGGAGCGATTCCATCCATCGTGACGCTGTTATAGCTTATTGCACGAGCTGAATTTCCAACACGTGCACAGAGCTCCTGGCAGTATTTGGGGCCTTTGAGTTTGCCAGTAATTGCAGCGACTTATCTCAACTGGAGAATTGAGGCTGTGTTAAAAAAACGAATCGTGCTAGCCAAGAGGATGAATGTTATTTTGCAGGTTGGGGTCATCCTTCCATCTACACTGTCTGCTGAGTGATAGCCACCACTCCCAGCAGGTAGCCTGGGGGTCTCCAATCCACTTTCTGGCCAGGCCCAACTCAGTTTAGGTCGTGCAAGTGGAGCCAGAAGTGGGCATTCAGACTCTAGCGGCTGAGAAGTTCAGGCTGTTCAACAGTTTTAATGAACCAGATTTCGGAGGCATTTGATTGTTTGAGCTGTGCAGGAATAAAAGTAGAGGCGGATTTGCTCGTTAGACAGCTTTAGACTTTAAACATCTGTTAGTATTTCACAAAATGCAACAGAAGACAAAATTTGCTCCAAGTGTTTTCCTCCTGCAAAGTGCCTAATTTGAATGAAATCTTTATTTTCATTCTACACCATTATTTTTTTTTATTAGCTACAAAAGCTCTTAGGCCAAAGCTCAAGAGCAGACCAAATCCCTGCTGGAAGTCTTTGTTAGGGAGAAGCTACCTTAATTTAAATATTCTGTACTGTCGTTCCCCCCCGCCTATGAACAGATGAATATTTTATAGCTGTTGTGACTTAATTTTTTGTTAACTACAGCAAATTTATAATTCATCAAATTCCCAAGTACTTTGCTTCTGACCCCTGACCCCTCATTCATCTCCTCTTAGCCCTGCCCTGGCTTTTTCACTGACAGAAATTAATGGCCAATAAAGACACCCTGACGTTGGCAGTTACAATGATGAATGTTTCATGTGGCCTGGTCTTATTATGACCCACTCTTTGAGGAAGATCGAGCCATTTTTCAAGCAATCCATTAAAACAAAAAGAGGAGGGAGAAGGAAATTATTTTATATTTCATGCATTTTAAATAGTGCTTGGGTAACGGAGCTCACTGTATGGCTATACTGAAAATTTCATCTGCATGATATTAAGTAGGGGATGTTTTTGCTATTTTTTCCCCCCTAGTCCCAGACTTTTTTTACTTAGACCTGCTTCAAATAATGAGCATGTGCAGTATTGTTTGCTTGTTTCCTACGAAGTTCGAATGTAATCTCTTTAGGACAATAGAAGATGAGGGTGGAAGGGAGCTCAG